TAACAAGAGGCCTTACGGGTCTGTATCATTCACCACTGGTATGAATCTTGCTCCAGTAACCTTAAACGTGTACCTAGGTCAAATATTTTGTAATGACTAAATTAAGCCAAAGGCTGTTTCATCACAGCTTGATACTGGCCGAATATCATCGATACTGGCTGAATATCATCACCTTTGGTTTTTTGTTTTTTGAGACGTAATTTAACTATTTTAACTCATATGACCCCAATGATATTGAAAGTGGGTCAAGGTTATTCATTTGAACAAACTTATAAACCCATCGCTCATGCATTCTACTGGCAAGATATCACCATCCTTGGCTTTAAGTTATTGCGAAGAAGTCGTTTAAAGATTTAAACATGTTTGACCATTGTGACCTGAACATGGTTAAATTATTTAACAAAAACTTGATAGCCCCTCCCCCTTTTCACACAACATGCTACTGGCAAACTATCATTGTTCTATGCCATTTGGTTTCAATAAGAATTTGATGATATATTTAAACTCACCTGAACCAATTACCTTGAAAGTGTGTAACGGCTGTTCAATCAAGCGAATTTAGTAGCCCTTCATCTCTACTACTACTGGCCAAAATCATTACTCTGGGCCTTTTGGTTCTAGAGAGGAGGTTGTTTAAACACATTTGACCCCTGTCACCTTGAAAGCAGGTAAATGTATTTATTTGAAAATAAGTTGGTAGCACTTCCTTTCAGCATGCCACTGGCAATATATCGTCGCCCTGGGAATTTTTGTAATTGAGATGTCATTATAAGATTTTTCTAAAAACATTAGACTCCTGTGACTTTGAGAGTGGGTCAGTCATTCATTGGAAGAACTTCATACAAGCATATATAATGTTTATCATTATAACAAGCTCTGCAGCCCTTCACCCAAGCATGCATCTGGCCAAATATCACTACCCTTGGCCTTTTGAAGTAGTTCAAAGACTTCAACACAGTTGACACCTGTGACCTGGAATATGAGTCAAGGTCATGCATTTGAACAAACTTTGTAGCCCTCCATCCCAGCATTTTATTGGCCAAATAATATCACCTCAAGGAAATTGGTAATTGAAAAGAATTGCTTTAAAAAGAATGGATGCTAGATAGCAATTTTTATCCAAAGTTGACGTTCAATGCACCAATGACAACTCTGGGTAGAGATTGGATGGCATAGCAAGGATCAGCATGACACTGCACGGCTCGACATGACGTGGCACGGCATAAGCTCACATGGCACTTTGGGTCAGATGAGCTTACAAGATACCCCAGAAGGATCTCATGGTCAGCGCCCACCATGACATGTTTCTGCAGGTTCTTTCCTCTTTCTGGTTTTCCTCTACTCTTCCTGAACAACCATATAAACAGGTAAAAAGGGAATCATGTAAACAGTTACCACACGTATGCAACTTGATTTTCGATCTTGATTGGCATTTTTTTTATCTTTAATGATTTCTGAGAAAATGTTGTATTTACATTTGTCTCTAAAAAATCAAAGATGGACATTTTGAATTACCAATACACCTGAGCATATTTAACTAGAAACCAAGAGAATCTGAGAAGCAGTGTAACCTATCTTGACTTTCAAATCCAAGATAGCAACCTAGTGGCTTTTTTGTTTCTTTTATTCATTTGAAATTGAATAATCCACAGCAAGGGACCAATAGCATCATGTGCCTGATCCCTTCAGCAGTTTTGGAGAAACAAAGGAAAACTTTCATGAGATGTTCTTCTAAAATTGGAAAATGTACAACTAGGAACTAATAGGATCATGCATATCACGTTCACAAAGATGCCTTCAGTAGTTCATCAGAACAAGTATCATAGTTCTAGAAGTTATGATTGATAGAAAAAGTTACTTAAGAGTAAAGGCATTATACCCCTGTGACCCTTGAAGTAGACTAAGGTCATTTACACGACAATATTTTATAGCACTTCATCCAAGGTACCTACTGGCCAAATGTCAGAACCCTGTGTCTTTCAGTTTTCAAAGAAAAACTGTGCACCTTATCATAAACTCTGCTCACAGCCACTTAGTGATAGGTGAATTGAAAATTACCAAACACTTCTTTGTATGTTTATGTAGCTTTCAGCTTTTAATTCAGTAACAAAACAAATACAAAAGTAAACACATCTATCATGTTGTCACTGTTAAATAATAACTGTACATTTATACCCGACAAAACAGGGAATGACAATTCATTTCCATTAAAACACTATATAGGTGAGGTCATTCACATGTACAATGTATTCACATTCTTTAACTGAGTCATTCACATTTCCATTCACATCCACTTTCATTCAAAAACCATGTTCTAAATCCAAAATTCAACAGCTGAACCATTCAAGGCATACTGTACTCTTCTTTCGTGATCACAAGTTTCTTTCTCGGGGGAAACTTTTGGCAGGGGAGAAATAATCAGCTCTTACAGTCTGTCTTTCACCAATGTACATTTATAAATTTCAAATATAACATAGACTTATTGGTATTAATGTGCCATTATGATGATCAAGCGTGTACCACTGGGAGCAGGACAGTCAAAAAGGGGTGTCGTGAAAAATCTTGTTATCAGTTATATTAATAGCTTCATATTTAACACTTCAAACAAGAATGATATAAATGATCACCATTTTGTCCCTCATTGTATATTAAGAGATAAGACACATGTATCAAATTCCTCAGTACAGTATTAAGTGTGAAGGCGTCATAAAATGTACTTCCATGATCTTTGCTCAACCATTTACACATTCTTGGAACACAGGGATGATTTTTAAGACTTGAAGTTCAGGTGACACACATGCTACCAATTTCAGATGATGTCAAACATAATGATGTCAAACATGTGAAAATCACATTCCTGTCCATTTCTTCATCTTCAGCAAAATGAAACACTTCATCTACAAGTCATCATTACTTTTTCTCTTTCTTGTCTACATTTTCCATAAATTTTCTTCTATAATATGCAGTTTTTGCATCGTATGGGTAACCTTCCTCCTTTCGACGCTGAAATGGACAATTGTTTTCATTGTAAGATAATGGTTTAAATACAGTATTTCAGTATTAAATGGCATAAGCAGGATTAATGTGTATTTGGGAGAAAGAGAAATGCATGGTCAGAACGTGGTTTGAACTTGAGACCCTTGAAATTGAGCTCTTTCTTGAGATTTGAAGCATTTTCTCACATTTTTCTGGATAAAAGTGAATACATTGATACTTCAGAAATGCATATACAGGTAAATTTTGCATGAATTATAATACTCAATGCAATTTTGCCCCACTCAACTCTGCATTCAAAGTTACTTTTCAGACAAAATCAACAACATTTTCGACAAATAATTTCTTCAAAGGTCATTATTGACATGGGTATACCAAGCAACTGCCATATTATTTTCATCTTGAGGAAAAGTTATGAGCCTACATACTATATATATACACTGACATAAGCCTGTATGAAATACCTTAAAGCAGTACTACATGTACAATGTACATACACATTCCATATTACACATACCAGGTTGGGGAAAACCAACTTGCTTATTTATATACGCAAACTCACCTATTATACGCCAGTCGGAACATGGATTTGTTACTAAAAATAACCCAAATCGCTTTAACAGTAACCTTTGCAAGATATTATTAAAAATCTTGTTAATTTACCACAAGGTAAATAATATTTTGCTAAAAGATGTTTACTGAAAGCGTTGGCTACTTAGAAACTTGATGTAAGTTTACCTGAAGTATTGCATCTGTTTTTGGTACTTTCCCACATGCAAATAAAGTTTATTTTTGCATTTGTATTATGTTTCATGACTGAATAAATGCGACTTGGACAAACAATGTGAAAAATTTAAGACAAAAGTGATTTTGGCAATTTTTAGTAACAAATCCATACCCCTTTAGTATTGGCGTATAATAGGCGAGTTTGCGCACAGGGGCATGGATCGCTTAACTTGTAATATTAAAAAAAGGGTCTCCTATACTAATAAATGTATTTATTAGTATAGGAGACCCTTTTTTTAATATTGCAAGTAAAGCGATCCATGCCCCTGTGAGTTTGCGTATTATACGAAAGTTTGTGGTTTTCCCCGACCTGCATACGTCTCTCCTTCACCTTAGTAAGGCAGCAGGGTTTCGTTTCAAATGTCTAAAATACGCATAATGGTATACGTCATGTGTGTCACAGCACACATAAACATAACGAACCCCTGTGGTTAGACCACAGAGGTACAGTTCAATTTATCATTTTATATCCGAGGTCTCCTTGTTAACCATACATAATTAATATCTGAGGTCAAATTGAACCGTGCCCATGTGGCGAGACCGAGCGAAACTGCAACTTACTAATTCCTGTAGGAACTCTATCTAAATCAGAGGTTTATAACGATAGAGAACTCTACTGTATCGTTATAAATATCTTTAGCAACTTACGTAACGTTACTAATATACTAATAGACTGAAAGCTCTACTGTCTTATTATCAGCTGAACTCGTAATTACCTCTACTGTAGAGTCATCAGAGCTCGACATGAAATAAAACGTAACAGCACCAAGACCAATGACAGCCCCCATGCGGGTTGACAAAAAGTATATTATTTGTGCTCTCGATGACATTCTGAACTCCCTTGCAACAATCGCCGGTTATTGTCACACTCACTGAGAGGTTTGAAACAGAGGATTATAAAATATCGGAAGGAAAGCGGATTCCGGATTTTCAAAGAAATGTGATATCTGTAGAGAATAATACATGCCTTTTTCCATATCATACCCAGTATCCACCCGAGACTGCTATATCACTCCTAGGGCCGAAGGGCCGAAGTAATTTTACAAGGTGACAAAACTTTCCATCAGTAAGCTGACTGTAGGCATTCCTATGGGGAGAAACTGTGCCGCTCCTCTGGCCGACTTTTGGGTTTCATACGATGCTTAATTAAGCAATCAGGACAAAACTCAGCCAATTGCAAGTCTTTCAATTTAACATTCAAATATATCAACAATATGCTATCTTTAAATAAAAATTGTTATTGACCGCATCGATCTTAAATACTGTACGGTGTACCTTCCCGAGCTTGAAACTAAGGACACTACAGGCTTTTCTATCTCAGTCACTTTCGTCAATCTTTACTCGTAACAAAATGAAAAGGACCCCTTAAAACTACGCTTCGATCAGCGGGACTATTTTGATGTTCCGATTGTGATCTTTCTCTTTCTTGATAGTAACATCCCTATTTTCCCATGTTGCTGTTTACTCGGTCAGGAGTTTGTGTGCTATGAAATTTGTTTATTACGTTCATCAATGTCGTTTTGTTGTCACTAACCTAGTTCTCGCTTTGAAGCATATCTGGAATTTTACCTAAATTTAATACGGAAGATACTTACCCTTCCCGAACAGCTGGTCTTAGTTGCATTGTATTTTTTCAAAGGTCTAAATGCCTTTGTTCAAATGTTGCCCTCGTTTTATCGATTTTAAGTTCTCACTTTGTCTACGCTTCGGTGTTCTTTTTTTTTTTTTTATTTCAGGAACCCCTCTCTCTCTCACTTATAAAATTTAATTTAAGTTTATAGATTTTTCGATAACAATGAGTGATTATTCTTCTTTAAAATAATTTCATAAATAGTGTCGTCAGTGGAAATTAGTTGAAAACTCCTGCTAAAATCCTTATATTAATTATTACCACACATTAATATATAATTTCGTTCTTTCGGTATATTTAATCAGATAACGCAGTGGTACATCTATTAATTGATTTTATTAAACTTAAAAACTGTTGTCGTTGAAGTGGAAAACAACAGCATATTTTTCAGCAAATTGCTCAAGTGCCTACACAAGAATGTAAATCCGAGCTACGCCCCTGAATTAAATAAAATAAAATTAAAGACATTTCAAAGTTTGGTTGTTTATTTTGTTTAATGTGTGATACATGTTCATATGTCTTTATCAAATAATTATATTCATGGTGAAAAGTCTGTTTGTTGACCGACAATCAGAATACTCCGGCATGTGTCGAGGTTTCGTGACAGCTACGTGTAGCAATGCACACTTTCAACCATTTCTCGTCACAATTTGCACAGCAGTGAAACGTATATATTATTATATACATATAGTATGTGAAATGAACGGCAAATAGTATCATATATTACAAACACTGACATGCACATCAGGCAATGCAGTATACCTTACTTCCTGCCAAAAATTTAATATGCCGTAGGCCTATAGAAGGTGAAACCAGCACAAGGCTCAATTTCAGAATCAACAACCGCTGCTCCAGAACAAAGCAGATGTCCATATGTGGCAAAGCACTTTAACATGCCGAGACATTGGAGACATGCAGGTGGTTGCTTTTGATCATTTCCCAACCTGCAATGAATCGAGACGGCTCATTCCCCGAATACTAACTCTGGAAAATTCAAAGGAAGGTGTGTTTATATAGGAAATCCTTTGAAGTTTAGTTATAGCCTGTTTCAACTAAGAATGTCAACTCATTGAGTTCCTCGTCGAAGATTGAAGGTATGGGTCTTATAGATTCCACGCAGCGGTTGGTGATCTGGTTCATTATCTGTTTTGCAACAACACTGGTTGGGTCTGCGGCGTGGTTGTGTTGATGTCTTCCGAAGTTTGCTGGTATGTTGGTTACTGTCTGAAAGTACAAGTTTAACTAATATCTATATATCAAAGCACACAATAACAGATAAAGTCACGCAAGTTCACACAAATCTGAAAATAAGTACAAGTTTTATATGACAATGATTTTAAGAGAAATCACGAAGTACAAAGTTTTACTAAAACGATGACAAATTCTGAATACAAAATACACATTCACTGAGTAAAGAAGTTCATGTTTCCAAGTACAGAGCGAAATATGATAATTCTCCAAAGTGTGCTGCTGTTTTATACATTACCCATTTAACAGCTTGGGATCGGAACTCTAAATATTATTGATTCTTTTGCAATTATTAGCAGCTTAGTTATTATCTGATTAGTTATCAGAAGAACAGCTTGGGATCGGAACTCTAAATATTAATTATTATTTTGCAATTATTAGCAGCTATTGATTATCTGATTAGTTATCAGAAGTTGATTTACCTGTGCAATTTAGCTGTACACTTTACTGCAATATACTATAACTTACTATCATCACAACTGACCACCTATGTAAACATGTGATTTGAAGCAGAGTTGGTATTCGGGGAAGACCCCAGGGAAAGGTACATGTAATGTACTGAAATAGTACATTGCTAAATTGAAGTATTTCTAATTTGTTACATTTTATCAACTACTTGTATCCAATGACCAGGCAAAGCTCACAGTCACTTGTTATTAGCTCATCTTGCCCAAAGGGCCAAGTGAGCTTCCGCCATTGCGTGTCGTCTGTCGTCAACTTTTTTCTTTAAATGACTTCTCCTCAAAAACAAATAGGCCTAGTGTTATGATATTTTGCAAAAAGCATGCTGGAAAGAAGGGCTACCAAGTTTGTTAAAAATGAATGACCTTGACTTTCTTTCATTGTCATTGGGGTCAAATATTTTCACATATTTTAACAACTTTCTTTTTCTAAATAACCAAAATGCCAAGTGTGATTTATATATATTTGGCCAGTAGCATGCAAGGGTTAAGGGCTAACATGTTTCAAACGAATGACATTGAACCAACTTCAAGGCCACCGGGGTCAAATATGTTTAAATATTCAAATAGCTTCTCCTGAATAACCAAAACGCCCAGGGTGATGATATCTGGCCAGTAGCATTCTGGTAAGAAGGACCTTGATCGACCCTCAACGTCACTGGAGTTCTATGATTAAAAAACAATTCTGAATAACTTCTTTAGAAGTACCAAAATGCACAGGATGATGATATATGGCCAGTTGCATTGTGTGATAAACAGCTACAAAGTTTGTTCAAATGAATGACATTTACCAATATTCAAGGTCACAGTGGTCATGTGTCTTCAAAAATAGTCAAGAATGTGGTCAGGCTCCCTGGACAGAAAGAAAGGACATAAAAAGAGGCCAAATGGGCCTGCATCACTCACCTGGTAAAAATCAAGGTTACAAGTGTGAGATTTTTACCAGGTGAGTGATGCAGGCCCTTTTGGCCTCTTGTAATGTCATTTCTTCTTTTTCAGGGAGCCTGACCATATTCTTTACTGTTTATAAGCTACTGTGATTTGTTGAAATGCATTGTAAAATTTGATACATAGCATAATTTTAATCCATAGAAACTGAAAAAATATATATCTGTTTGACCGTATTTTGTACAGAATCGACTCCTTATTCAGACAACTGTAAACAGACCACAACCCCAAGCGTGCATACATAGTTATGTAGAACTGTCCAATATAATCATTTCCAGAGAGGGCGAGTCACACAATGGTATTTGCGTTATTTAAAATCAATGCCATATGGCCGAGTCACCTGTCATGTACCGAGTATTACCATTATATTCTATTGGAAGTGTATTCAAAAATATATGAGACCAGCTATATCTATTAAAAAAATTGAGCTAAGAAAACCATACAATTGTATTAATCTTTTATTCGAGTAAAGAGCGCCAAATTGCACCTCAAATTATGCAAAATTTCATGTTGTGAGAATTTGATGCTTAAAACAGCACATATTTCTCATAAACAAAAGTAAAATCCAGCTTTTGTTCTATTGTAATGGTCTTTGCTAGTCTTATAGTGGAATTAATTTAACGAATGCTAATCAGCTTTACTTGTCCTACTCTGATGAACAAAAACATTTTTCCCCCCCCGACTCTCCAGGAAAAAAGGAGGTTAAAAAGGAAAGCATACACAGCAAATATACAAGTTTGGTACTTTTTTTATTTGAAAATATCCAGATTATCTGTTCAACACATTTTGCATAATATTATGGGAATGCTATTCCCATCATAAGTGATATATCAACTGTTTAATTAAAATTTAGAAGGAATCGGTAAATAATTGTCCATACATATTATCAGGTACAATGTATTATGTCACACATATATACATATTCATACCCAGGTCTGAGCTTCAAAAGAGCATTCCAGAAAGGGGAGGTAACTACATTTTCTGCGATGGCCCAGTAATTATTCTTCACTATTTTAAATAATATTCCATTTTAGCTCATTGTCATATATGGAGATAAATGGTAAGGTCAAGAATTTAATCACTGTGTCATTGTTATTCTCAGCTTGTAATTGATCTGATTATTAGTTACAGTTAAATTTTAAGTGATCATTTTCTGAATTAAGACAACTTTTGTTTCAAAATGTTTGCACTTGGTATTTCTTCAACATGTATTCCTGTTTCCTCACAGAAATAAACATTTCCATTTCGAAAATATGGCTCCTTCTTTTTGTACCATTCGTCCACATTGAATTCAGGAAAGAAAAACTGCATTTCTTTTCGTGCCGATTCATCAGAGTCTGATCCATGGGTCGAGTTCCTTGTATCCGTCAGTCCAAACTGTCCACGGATACTACCTGGTTCTGAATGAACCGTTTGAAACACTTTGGTAGGTCCCATCAGTTTTCTCCATTCCCGTATACCATCATCTCTGGCTAAAATATGTGCAGAGATTCCACCACTTGCCATAAAACTTACAAGTCTGTTATGGAAAAATCTTCCTTCATGTTCTTTATAAAATTCTTCAGCTTTTTTGCGAGGCAAATACAAATCC